ATATATATATATATATTCCACGTCTCCTATAGCTTATCAAATTAATAATTGATATTAATAAAGAGGCATTAAGAAACAAACATACAATATTGATAACATTGACTATACATTAATAAAAACGATTGACATTTTCTCTGGATTATTTTGAACATAAACGATTCATAATTTTAAAAATCAGTTTTATATTTCGATTTTTGGTTAGATATATGACACAATATCTTGTTTATATATATTTCACCTCTTGGCACCATACAATTGTATGCTGTTTTTTCATATAAACCATTCTTTTTTTTCATCTAACTTTTTAACTGTAAAATTTATATGCAACTGAAAAAGTGCAAGTGAGTGCAGAAACGTGCCACAATTGTATTAGTTTTAGTTTATTATTAAACACTAAAGAAAAACTCACAAATTCGTTTGTTCTTTAATTAGCCTTCTTATTGATATTTCATAAATAAATAAATAAAATTTTAGAATCTCAAAACAACTGAAATAAAATTATGTTCATTAGCATGTTCTTCTTGAAATCAAACAACTTTATCCAAACCATTTTTTTTTTTTTTTTTTTTTTGTGGAATAATAGTATCTTCCGTAAATAGCGTTTCTCTCTGTATAAAATGGTGCAACATGTGCAAATTGTCGAGTAACATGTTCCTCAGTTTGTTGAACGCAATAATTTATACAATAAGGGCATAAAATTAGAGGTAATAATAACAAGATGTAAAGAACATTTATGGAGTAAAGTGCACGATAAGCTTATTAGCATAGTTAACGGGTACTAGGTACTAGGAGTAATCGATGCGACGAGTTCTCTTGAGTGACTTCGCGACATCTTAAAGATGCATGAGCCGAGTTTCATGACATGCTCGCACGTACAGTGCGTGGAAAGATTCTCGATAAGCGCGAATGACGCGATGTCGGTACTTCAGATTTCGATGTCTTGCACGCGAGGCACGTTGGCTGGCGCGAATATGTGTAGATTGAGAGAACGAAGGAAGTGCTGCAGATGTTTCTGCGCGCAAGAGAAATCGGGCGAGAAAAATATGTAATTTACATTTAGTCATTGAAATCAGATTGTCTTTTTTTTTTTTTTTTTAATCATGATGATATAATGATGTGTCAGTAGATATAAATCATTAGAATCATTTCTAGCTGAAGATATTCTTTATTTCAACTTTGCTCTATTTTAAACATAAACATATCAATAAGATATATATCTTATATGCTAAATTTAAATTTTGCAGAGGGATCTTTTTATCTTTTCTCGATAAAATAGTGCTTATTTTATCCTTGAAAGCAACACCGAGCGTTTGCAAAAACAAATCATTCACTCGACAAGCTACATTTTAAGATATGGTCGATTCTAATACCGTGATCCGAATTGCCTCGATCTATCCGTGGCCCGCGGCCCGCGTCATTTTACGATACGTCGTAAAAGACGCACGACGATCAAAGATGCAGTAATGGCGTGGGGTAATAGCATGAGATAAACGGGCGCGTGCAGCATGCAGACGCGAAAGCCGAAAGAGAAGCTTTCTCGTTCCAGGCGCGATCGCCTTTAACATCCCTCGACGGTATCTTCGTCCTTATCCGCATCATCCCCCGATACGGCCCGGCCGGTTCAATCTTCTCCTCTCGCGCGGCGATCAGGTATGCCAGCATCGTCGAAACTTTTCCAATCGGGTTGAAAGTTTGTTCCGGTAATTAAAGCCGCATGAATACTCGATGGGCTTACCATGTCGGTTTTACTGCCGCTGCTCTTGCTTACTTCTGAGGATCCGCCGAAGAGCGAAGAATGGTTAAAGACGAATTGTCAATTGCGTTCGTGTCCCGCGCCCGCGACCGTCCTCATCGCCTAAAGGGTGAGAGAAAGGGGAAGGAGGAGGAGAGGGGTTCTTCGTTTCCGCCTCTACTGCGTCCGACAGGCTGTAGATCCGGCCTTCGTCACCGTCGACTTTTTTTGAGTGAATATAATTATTTCAAAAATATTCGACTATTTCAATTAAAAACACTATGGCTGGGACACTATGGCTGTATTCCGATATTAATTGCCAATACTAAAAATCTATAGTTTACGTCATGTACACTATAGGTTTTCGGTAATGGCAATGAATATTGGAATGCAGTCTATACATCAACTGATTTAATATCTAATTAGAGAATAATTATATAAACATATACATACCCATGCATGCACATGTGCAAGCCCGATAATTCATATTACAATAAGATTCATTATATTCTTTAGTACTCTTTTTATAACTTAGAAATCAAGTATTGCACAAATCAAGTTATTTATTTATGGAATACATTTCAGAAGATTTTAAAGATGTAATACAAAAGTAAAAGACTTTTATATATTTTGGTAAATAAAAAACACAAAAATAGAAATATAAAAAAATCTAATCATGTCTTTTTTTATAGATATTATTCTCTAATTATTAGCATTGATAAAAATAAGAATTACTAGATTCTTTTACAGCAAATTTCTTTTTTCTTTATCTCTCTTTACAGATAATACATATGTCCTATGTCAATATATATATTAAATGTAATAAAGAGTATCATTAATATTTTGTTAATATTAATTGCAAACTCGACAGTGTACTATATATTCTCAAAGAGGAGAATATATAGCAAATTATTGTATCAAAGTAATAAAATAATGTAAATTATAGATTTATTATAACAAATAATAATATAGAATGATATTTAGTTATCTTGTATATAAAAGCATACATATCTATCTTTATACATTGATTACTCGCTATGTCCTGCAGCTCTACGCAATAATACATATATCTTTTCCTTAATCCAATCCTTATTATATGGAGCATAAGTATTCGTAGATTTTTGATACACAAGACATGATAAATCTGTTAACTGGTCAACAAAATCAAATAATTGACTGATGTCATAGGTAATAGTTGGAGTATTTGGGTTTCGCCTTTTTAAATGTTCTTCATAAATTTTACATACACCTGCAATACAAAAGCAAATGATTAATCAATATAAGCTTATAATTGGGTATGTAGGAATATTCTAAAAATATAAAAATACACAAATATATTTGATAATGATTCAATCACATGGGCCATATAATGTATCAAAAATTAATTTTATTCTCCTGCAATATTTCTTTCATCTTTAATATTTCTTAAAATATATAGATATCAATCTACTTAAGATGGATTGAGTTTATAATTTATAATGTATGCAACAATTTTATGCAAAAAAATTATATATAATACAGAAAAAAAGGATTAATCTATTATCACTAAACTCTTTATAAATTGTATATATACATA